AAATAAATCAGGCCCATGAGCTGAAGGACAAGTTGTTACCCTTATGTTTGGGCATTACTGACTGATAGGAGGTGATCGGTTGTGGCTAACTCTGCAGGACCTCAAGTGCACCTGTCCGCCCTGGCTAGTGTTGTGCAGGGGTGAGCACACTCCCCAGCAAGGCCAACAAACAAGTCAGCAGAGCACAGTGCACTCTGTCCTGCGAATAGCTGCAGCCCACTACTTTGCATCAAGCAGAAGCTACAAGAAGCCCCACCCTCTGCGTTGGGCACATTTCCTGGGCACATTTCCTGTTTTATCCTGCAAGTACAGACCCTATATATACCCACAGGCAGTCCTAGTAAACGGACTTCAGACTCCAGACCCCAGGTTTCTGCTTCATTCTCTCGCGTCTCTGAGTCTCCTATGTTCAGGTGAACGTAGAGGTCAGCGCCCCCCTTGGTGGGTTAGCAACAGTCAGTAGCCTTCCCGTATGGCCTGGCAGAAGGGCAATAAAAACTGGCATAGTAGAAGAAGGCCCAAAGGGGGACTGGCCCTCTGGGTCACTATGGGAATTTGAAGACTGCATGACAACAAGTCATGTCAAGTGCATCAGAAGAACCCCGTCCTGATTCATAAGGCGATTGGAGCCAGTGCATGGCTGGAACAGTGGGTTGGCCTCAGTGGCCACCGTGGTCTGTGCATTCCATCAGTTAGAGATTGATGGAATCTACACATGTTCCTTCCACACCCCTTTACTCTGTTCAGCTGAGAAGACCCGTGTCGATTCTTCTGTTCATCCTGGCCAGCAAGACAGGCAGAGACTACAGATGGCATGAGAGAGATTCCCCCAGGGGAAAACTGGCAAGTGACTTTGGACCAATGTTGGGACCCCAGAGGTCTATTCAAGGGCCCTGAAATGAGTAGACTCTGACCCTGACTCTGGATTGGACTGTGAATGAGGTGGTACAGGCAACTGCTTCGAGAACAACAAAACCAGAACACAAATCCCTTACCAATTCAGACCTAGCTACAATTTCTTAAAAAAAAAAAAAAAGATTTAATCATTTATGCATACAAGAACTGGGGTATGGGCCATAGGTGTGTGTGGTGGAGGGGAGAGTTGTGAGGGGACTCACCAGAGACAGAGTGGGGAGCCAAATAGCAGGTAAGTAGATAGAATGAAATGCACTGCTTAGGGGAGCAGTGGGCGGGTCAGGAGAGGTCTTCTGCACCATGTGGATCAGCTCCCTGGCTGGGGATCAAACTTATATTGCAGTGGCTGCCAGTAGCTTCATAGTGCTGAGATTTAACCCCTTGCACCACCAGAGAGGCCCCCAGGTTACCATTTCTTAGACCACAGAACACATGCTCTTCTTCAGATTAGTGGTTTGATAAGGAACTGGCACAGTAATTCAAGCTGATGGGCTCATTTACAAGTCACTGTGGGTGTTTGCCCCTTCTTCCCCTGGGGGGGCATTTGGGCTATTACTGCTGGAGCTGGGAAAGGAGGGAGGGAGCTTGCTGATATGATAATTCAGTTCTTCTTATTGAGGGGAGATGATGGTACGACTACATTTTTCTTTCTGCCTGCCTTCACTTCAACTTTCATCTTCCTCTCCAATACCAGAGTCCCAGGGCTTGGCTGCTACCACAAATTTCAAACGCGGGCAAGATTCCTGGGCCAGGAATTGTAACTATCCTTTTGCACTTTTATGTCAGAATTCCTACGGTCTGATTGAGTGGACTGTGCTTTCATTCTACCCAGTGAAAGTGGGGTTAATGATGAATGTACCTCCTATCATCTAATGACTGGTAGTGTCCATTTTTCCGTGTAACTGAAAAGGAGCAGTAACAGCTGGGGATAAAAGCATGAATACATGGGTTATGCAATTAGGGGAATCCAATATTCTTCCAAAAACACTTTACTCAGTTATGCCAGATGCTAAATAGGGGAAGCCATCTGTAACTGTGATTATTACTTTTGGAAATATTTTGAAAGCTGCAAGACTTAGTGGTCTCTCTCTGGCAGACATTCTGGTCATATAAGATAATGACAGAGTAAGCTAAGGACTAAACAGAACTTCAGTAACATGCCAGTGCCTTTGACTTTAATTTTCAGGTTACATTTACTGTTTTGCAGTGTATTCTAACACTAGCATTGGTGATGAGGCTATATTACCAATATTGACTGTAAATGTACTGAGACATTGAGCTAAAAAGCCTGTTATTTGGACCCCACACTCACTGCCCCAGACAATAGGTATATTCCCCTTGGTACTGTGGCTGCATCTGTTATATAAATGCTATACAAGTTCATGTGTGTGTGTGTGTATATATATATTGAGGTAACACTAGCTTACAACACTGTAGATGCTTTAGGTGAATGGATTCATACCTTTTAGATGTGTGTCCCCACATTGCATCTACCACTAGAGTACCAATCATCTCATAAACCCATAACTGATAGATGCCCAATTTTTTGTTTTCTTGAGTTGTTTAACTCCTTTGTAGATCTAGGATATTGGCTCCTTGTTGGATGTATGATGTACGAATGTTTTCTTCCATTCACTAGAATGTCTTGTTTTACTGTGTCTTTTCAGCATGCAGAAGCCTTTTTAATTTGATGCGGTCACATTTGGTTATGTTCCCTTTTGTTTTCCTTGCCTTTGACTCAAGTTCCCAAAGACATCTCTGAAGCAGTGTAGAGTTTTGCCTCTGTTTTTTTCTATGTAATTTATAGCTTCAGGTCTTACATCCACGTACTTGAAACATTTTGAGTTTTTGTGTTTGGTGTTTGTTTTGCATTTTTTCTTTGATGTAGTCTCATTTGGTTATTTTTGCTTTTGTTTCACTTGCCTTTGTACTCGAGTACTGTTTAATGTTTTCCCAATACTATTTGTTGAACCGACTTTCCTTACTTCATTTTGTAGATTAACTATTCATATAAATATGGCTTGTTTCTGGCTCTCAATTAGTCACTGTATCTAATTTTAGTTCAATACCATACTGTTTTGATTACTATTGCTTTGCAGTATTGTTTGAAGTTTGGGTGATTCATAGCTTCTTTTTGTCAGATTTGCTTAGGCAATTCTGGCTCTTTTTATGATTCCATACAGAGTCCAGTAATGTTTATTTCCTTGAAGAAAACTATTGTAATTTTGTTAGGGATTGATTCTATATATCACTTTGGGTAAGAAGGCCATTTAACAATGTCAATTCTTCTATTCCATGAGCATAATTACTTTTGTTAATTTTTAGGAATTCAATTTTTATTATAAATGGGATTGTTTTCTTATTACTCTTATAGTTTGCATAAAGGAATGCAGAGATGTATTGATTTTGTAGCTTGCCACTTTACTGATTTCATTTAAAGAGTTTAGTGGAGTCTTTAGGGTTATCTTAAGTTTATTCTGTTATCTGTAAGAAGTGGTATTTTTACTTCTTTTCTAATTTGGATTCCTTTTATATCTTGTCTTGCCACCCTAGGCAGGACTTCCAATACTATGTTGAATAATAGTGATGATAATGGGCATCCTTATTTTGTTGCCTACTATTAGAGGAAAAGCCTTCAGTTTTCACCAGTTAGTATGCTATCAGCAGTTGGTTTGTCACCTAGAAGTCTAAGAAAAATCAAGAGTGTTCTGGTCCCCTAATCACAATATATGGTCATTTATCTTAGGAAAACCATTTATTTCCCTAATCAGTAGAGTTATAAGACTAAGGCCAACATAGACTTTGAAATGAGATAGAATTCAACATGAGATAGATTTTAATATGAATACCTTTATTGAATCACGTTTTAAATTTACAAATCTAGAAGTGTTACAGTGTAATGAACAAATGATGTTTGTATTTATAGGATACATCCAGAAAAGTTTTTAATAGCTACTTGAAATTTGCTCCTTTCAAGTTTTTATATCTCGCTTACAAATGTATTATCATAAATCAAATTCTAGCTCCAGAAAATAACATGTTGGCTTAACTTGTTAATTATAGGACCATCTTTTATTTTTATCATTATTGACTATGTATCATTATTGGATTATTTTGATGACTTTTTACATCTTATAAGACAGTTCAAATAAATTACAAACTTAAATTGATTAATGTATAATCAAGATAATCATATTGTCTTAAAATATACCAGAAAGGGTATGTTTAATCTAATTCTCCCTGCTCTCCATACCATATAAGACAGAAAGTTTCACATTGTTGAAAGAAATTTTTAAGTGGAGAGGAGAAAAATGTCTCATATTGAGACAAAAAAAACATAATAGCTGTCTTAAACAACTTATTCAAGACACTTCTTAGACTTATCAAGAGAATAAATTACGTACAAATGTTAATAGATTTCTTAATTTCTCTTTTTTGTGGAAAGAGCACCAAAATATTTTAATGTTCATAAGCTATTTATGAATCACATAAATCTCATTACTGTTCCAATCCCAATTCCTACCTTAGCAGGGAACAAGCACATTTCACATATTTTTTTCTCATTCGAAAATTGCTATTTTTAATCTTTTCTATCCCTTGAAAACAAAATCAATGTTTCAAAAATAAGTATAATTTTCCAAGGAATTTACTTGTTTACATAAGTAGTCTCTACCTGACTAATATGAACCTTTGCCCAAAAAAATATGGTAGCGTGGCTTGCAGTATAAAGTGCGTAGGCATGTTTTTTTGTTTTCTCATAGCAATTGCCATTTATTCCTACCTTTTTTCATGTAACTAGTGTGCGTAGGCATTTTTAATAACAAAGTGGTAGTATTACATTTGAGAGGTAAACAGCAAAACAAAAGCCCCACTGTCATTCTCCAGTCTGGAGCATAGAAGCCTCATGTTATATGAATGAGAGTATGGAAAACTGCAACCATCATTTTGAATCTTCTCAGTGTCCAGTCAAGAATAATTAGGTTTAAAATTATGCATCTAGGAAAATTAGATGTACAGCTCCAAAAGGAATAAAAAAAAATTGACAAATGTGGTTTTTGACATCCCATCAGGCTTTTCTCTGTCGGTCAAAGGTAAAAGAGACGATTTGTCAGGGAAAGATGTGGTTCTTGGTGAATGCTCTGACCCACGAGGTAAGCCAGCTTGTGGGCATAGTGGCAAGGAGCAGGAACTCGGATGATGCCCTTTAGCAGAAAGAAGAAACACACAAATTTAAGTTCGTATCTATTTTCCATAAATCTAAGGTCACAGATATTAACTCTAAGATTCAAAAGGTATAGACTCAGTCTTGAACCATTTTATAGATCTGAAAAAAACCAGTATCAAAAGATACTTACCGACATATTATAATACATGTGGCATAGTTTGTAAGTTAGACACTGTATTTTATCTGGGCTGAACTCATATGTATCGTAGATGATGTTGTAGTGAGTGGGGGTGACAGTACCATCTTTCACGTGCTGACTTATGATAAAGAAGTCAAACCTGGAATTGCAGCAAAGGAGGGCTCAGCTAACGAACACAGCAAACACTGGTAACCTGAGGTGACATTATAGAAACCCAACTCATAGACAGAAAACTTCCTCCATACTTAGAAGCCTGGCTATCAGGCAGTAATATCATAACGCAAATCGACAGTGAAATCATTGACACAGGCAGTAACACTCCTGGGATTGAGACATAAAAAGAATACATACTAATGGAAGAAACATAAAATGGGCACATTTGATCTGTTCATAGGTAACTCAATTCAGAGACCCTTGGATGGGCACTTCCTGCCTCTCTGAACTCGCCAGGATATATTCAAACTCCCTACCTAGTATAGCTGCTAAGGCTTATAATTTACTATAAATACTGGATTTATTTTAATGTGTATCTTAATGTTGTTGCTGATGTTTGTCATACTTGTCGTTAGTTTTCTTTAATCCTTTTCTGCCTCCCTTTCATGTGACTTCATTTCTCCCTATCTGCTGCTCTCAATGTCCTATTTTGATATCCCACAGTAATTCTGCAACATTTTCAGAATTGGTAAAAAGCACCAGAAGTTCAACCATTCTAACAGCAGAAGAATATTAGAATTTTCTTTTTAATTTTATGAGGAGAAAGTGACAGAAAACAGAAAGATCTACAACCCAACTTAACATTCACATAATTTTTAACCTTTATATCAGCTCTTCTTCAACTCACGCAAATCTTAAAAATACCTGTTACTATTTAAATAAAGGAAATTTAAACAAAATGAAGATGGCTTACCATTCCTTTCTGGTCAGCTCTATATCAATTACTGTTCCTGGAGGTGGATTCCCAAATTTTCCTTGAGTCTCAATAAAAAATCTGGTGTTTATTCGTTTCTTCACCACAATGAAAGTTAGTGTGAAACTTAAAAAAAAAGTAGGATCAGTGTCACTATGTTTCTACTCAGTCCTCCTCAGAGGCATTCAGCTGAACGCTCACGTGTGGGGCATATGCTAAAAAGGCTGTGGATGGCAGCACTCTGCACACCCCAATTTTATCGTCTTAGGTTCAACTAAAGGTTTCTACTCATTCACCTACATGCTGGGCGGAGGCGCCCTTCCTGACAAGGTCAGGACCTCTTAGAGCATCTATGCTGAGCATCATGCTTCACTAAGAAACAGATGCTTTCTGGGAGGGAGTTCCAGTCCTAGCACCTACAGGATAAAAGAAGCTGAATAAGGAGCTTCCCTGGTGGTGCAATGGATTAAGCCACAGCACTATGAAGCTATCAGCAGCCACTGTGGAATGAGTTTGATCCCTGACTAGGGAGCAGACCCACAGGGCACAGCAGACCTCTCCTGACTTGCCCATTGCTCCCCTCAGCAGTGTATTTCAGGGGGTCTGCCTGTTCTGCTCCCCACTCTGTCTCTGGTAAATTCTCTCACCCCCAGACTTTTGTCCTGCACCCTAATCCTTGTATGCATAGATTTTTTTAAAGGATTTTTTTTAAGATTTATTTATTTATTCATATAGAACTTGGGTACAGGCCAGAGATGCGGAGGGTGAGAGGATTCATCAGAGACAGAGTGGGGAGCAGAACAGGCAGATCACTGAAGTACACTGAGGGGAGCAGCGGGTGGGTCAGGAGAGGTCTGCCGCACCATGTGGTCACCTCCCGGGCAGGCGGGGATTGAACTCATGCGGAAGTGGTTTAAGCTTCTTAGTGCTGTGCTTTAATCTGCTGCGCCACCAGGGAGGGCCTAAATAGATGTTTTTTTTAAAAAGTTGATTAAGTGCAAATCATCAACAGCTCAGAGGATTTAACGCATTTCTGAGGTGAAATGGCCTCTACTATCAAGTCTTGAAGGGAAATTAAAGAGGATTCCTAAGAGTTCTGTGGGGAGAAGAAACCTGCTACTGTCATGTTCCAGGTGTGCCTTTTACGCTGGCTTGGGAGGTGCAGCACTTCCCCCCCCCCCACCAGTGGAGACCCTCTAGTGGGTCTCTGCTTGCATCATGCCCCATGTCAAAATTGATGCAGATTATTTCTCAGCAACTAAGATGCAGAACTTACATAATTTACACATCACAATTCATATACCTACCGGAATGACTTGAAAGTCTCCTCTAAGGCAGTCTCGAACTGTGGTATTTCATGGTCAATCAGTGCTTGAAGTTGACCATCTCCCACTCCATCCCGATACACAATGATAAAATATGGCAGAGACGAGTTATATTTAGACCAGTGCTTCAAGGCAGCTGAAAAGAAACATGAAAAGAAATGTTCACTTGGGGTGAATTGACCAGTGCAATCTAGGTTCATTTTTCAACACTGTAGCTTTCCAGAGTTTCAGTGCTTTGTCTTTAGTCCAGTCAGAGGATTTGCAACATTCCTGCAATATGGAGCCAGATGGCACTTTGTGGTAAGGAGGAGGAGGCTGCTGTGCATAGTAAGCATGGGATGTCCAACAGTGTCCCTGGCCTCTACTTACAAACAGATATGTTTCCAGTCATTGCCAAGGGACCCCTGGGGGTCAGCATGTCCATTCTTGGAGAAGGACTGGTGTATAGTCAGGTTCCCACTTTCTTTGGGGTACTGACCTTGCAAGCAGGCTCTCAGTCCACTCACAAGTTCCTGCCCTGTTTCCTGTAAAACACATTGGGAGAACCACCTGTTTGGAGAAAAACAAGTTGTCAGTCCAGAAACAAGGGCTCTTAAGGCTTCTTCATTTTAATTTCAAATTAATCTATGCCCCTCAAACAATTGCTATAGCTGAGGAACCACTCACTGCCCTATGTATTGGTCTCTTCTGATAATTTACATCATATACAGTTTGCATGGACAGAACTCTAGAGTGAGACACATGCACCAACATTATATAAGTTACATGCGCTTGCTGTGCAGAATGGGTGCTGTCCCTAATGGAGGGAGCCACAAAATGAAAACTTGATGTTCCTGGGGTCTCCCCCTCTGGACTCATGTCTTAAATAGTGGCTCATCTATAATAACCTGCTTTGAGGAAGCAATTTGCTCTGGAAGAGTAATAGCGATTGCAACTGTTTCTCAGCAGATCACATCAAAATTACACTTGTCTCAAGTTTCTATCTCCTTACTGCATTTCCGTTCACATCAGAATCTTCGGACAATGTGGCATGATGTAATGTAGCTGGCTTTTCACCAGAATGTGCACTCCAGGGACAGGCACTTTTACACTTACACCACTGCCCTTTCTGCATATGAACATTGCAAGCACTCAACAGTATCTATTTAATAAATGAAGCTTACTTCTCCCCGACAGTCACATCAGTTTCTAAATTTAAAAAAAGCAGAGCAAAACTGACATACAGTACATCTGGGAAAATGTCATTTGTGAAACTAAAGATGGGTCTTCACTAAGATTACAGTGGAACTGATCGAAGGAGGAAGGAAAGAGCACAGGGCACTGTGGTGACAATGACAGGTGAAAGGAGAGAGGGATTCTATGGTGTAGACACCTGGCTGGGGGGAGAAGGGAGTAAACAGTGTTTAAAAATGAAAAAAAAAAAAAGATCACAGTGGAATTCTACTTTGTGGTGCACAAACATCACTAAACCTCCAGCTGATTTGTGCTGGTCAGATGTAGGTGATATACAGGGAATGACAAGCTGAAGGGCATCTAAGCCTCTCGAAAGTGGTTTTTATTTAAATGGAGAATATAAAGGAGCCCCAGGAGAAGAGGAGCCACATGAAATAGAGAAGTGTGCCCTCTTACAGGCCTACTAGGCAAATATGAATGAGACGATCTGTCCTTAGAGGCCTCTGGTAATGTTTCCAGGTCTTGTCTTTATCCATGTGTGGCCTAACTGTTCCCCCATGGGCTGGCGATTCCCATGGAGAGAGACTTGCTAAATGAGCCCATGGTAGGCAGAATTCTACCTGTCCTAATCCCTCCCCTGGGCATCTGGTGAGCTGTCACCCCAGTGGGTGTGTTATATGGCACAACAGACTTCCAAATGGGGCTTATCTAATTTTGTAAGTCCTTTTAAAAGCAGGGAGTTTTCTCAGCTAATGGCAGAAGAGGAAGTTAGAGATGTAGTAAGCATAAAAAAAAAAAAAAAAACTCCATGTGCCCTGGGGTGGAGGAGTGGGGAGCGCAACAAGGGCTCTAGATGAAAGTCTAGAAGCCAAGACTGAACCATCGTTGACAGCCATGAGAAAGCCAGGACCTCTGTCCTACAACCAGAAGTAAATGGATTCTGCCACCACTCTGTCTGTGTGTTTGGAAGAGGATCCCAGCCTCCAAATAACAACATGGCTCACTTTCTGACACTTTCTTCTCTGCCTTCTCAGGCCCTGAGACCAAAGCAGAGCCAGATGCCCACTCCTCAGGAGAGTGTGTGGACACTGGGTGTTGTCTTCAGCTGCCACACTCGTAGTACTTTTTTTTTTTAAAGATATATTTATTTATTCGTACAGAACTGGGGTACAGGCCAGAAATGCGGAGGGTGAGAGGAGTCACCAGAGACAGAGCGGGGAGCAGAACAGGCAGATCGACAAAATACACTGCTTAGGGGAGCAGCGGGCGGGTCAGGAGAGGTCCGCCTCGCCATGTGGTCGCCTCCGGGGCAGGCGGGGATCGAACTCATGCGGAAGTGGCTTTAGTTTCTTAGTGCTGTGCTTTAACCCACTGCGCCACCAGGGAGGGCCACTCGTAGTACTTTTTAAGGCAGCCATAGAAAAAGATGCAGAAACTTTCACACAAAATGTTTTGGGAACATAACTTTGCCAGAAGGTCAGGAAAGCCCACTGTTAAAAACAACTTGTTGCGATGGAGCTTGACAACCAGCAGTTCTTAGGGCCAGTTCTCCCATTGGGCTTACAGAGGACCACAAAGCTTACTCACTGTGTCAGGTCTTCATTGCAACTTGCCACAAATGCTGCAATGGACTTTCGTCGATTGACAATATCGTGGAAACAATCGATACCAATGAACATTGCGTTCTTCAACTTAAATTTTAAAATAGACAAGACATTGCGTTAGAATAGCATACAAGCAAAAGTCAAACTTTAAATAAACAGCTAAATAGTATCTGGCATTCCACTAAGCACATACAAAACAACATACAACCAAACCCAACGTACTCCAGTGTCCACTTTCCAGAGGGCTCCTCCCATCTTGCAGTTCATCTGCTGGGCAATTTTTGTAGCGATGGTCTTTTCCACTTGGGGTCTTTCTAAGGTTCGTGCCACCACACACTGGCTTGGAATTGGGCAGTTGACACACAGGTATTTTTTTATGCCATCATACACTTCTTTCTTGTCACTGGACAGTACACAAACCACCTCAAAAGAAAGTTGACATGAAATTCCCCAAGATGCAATAACAGTGGTGTAAGAAATGCATATCATGTTGAGGACACAATTTAGGTGAATTACTGACAAAGCAGGGTTGATTTTTTTTTTTAAATATTTATTTGTGGGCCCTCCCTGGTGGCGCAGCGGGTTAAAGT